CAGCTGAGCTCCCAGCCGACAGCCAGTGTCAGCAGCTGGCCAGGTGAGTGGCCATCCGGATGGCAACCCAGTCGGGGCTTCAGATGACTGCAGCCCCAGCCAGTGTCTTATTCCTGTGACCACACAAGACATACTGAGAACTGCCTAGCCAAACCCCTCTCAATTTCCTGATCTACAAAATCAAGAGCAAAATAAAATGTTCTGGGGTAATCTGTTATGCACTCATAGTAACTGGGGTATTCTGGAAGCTTCAGTTACCACAGTAGGTTATTCTTAAAAAACATCTTTATACAAAATCAAGAGCAAAATAAAATGTTCTGGGGTAATCTGTTATGCACTCATAGTAACTGGAGTATTCTGGAAGCTTCAGTTAGCACAGTAGGTTATTCTTAAAAAAACATCTTTCAAACAAAATTCTTTTTTTTTTTCAGTTCATTTAAAATGTTTAAAAAACACTTGGGAGCAGGGAGTAGGTGGTCATAAAACCAAACAAATAAACCAAATCTTGAAAGCTGTCTAGTAAAAACATGCACGTGTAGGCTAGGGTAAAACGATAAGGGTAACAAATACTAGTTTCTGTTCATGTTCTGTTAGGCATACTACGTACGTTCTTTCATTTAATTTTCATTCCAACTCTGTAAATGTGCCCATTTAATAGATGAGGAAACTGAGGCTTAGGGATGTTAAGGGACTTACCAAGAACTGGGAATTTAATACTGATGGGTCTGACTATAGAGCCTGTCCTGTAGCAGTTGGAAGAGTTGTTAATGAGGAGAGTTAAATCACTGAGTCTCCTCTCCTTAGGGACAAGGGTAAGGGACTATTAGGGATGATTTAGTTCAGTGCTAGGGACTCAGGATCCATCAGGGCCAACTGGGGAGTGTTTTAAAATACATATTGCCAGGCCCTATCCATATGGAGTCTGTAGGTCTGGGGTGGGGTGCTTTCCAGAAGGTTCTGACCTATTTCCAGTTGAAGCCTCTGATTTAGCCCAACCTCCCCTGTTGCAGGTGAGGACACTGAGACCCCTTGAGAAGTGGCTTGTTCTGTGGCACAGTTCAGCTTAATGGGAGAGCTGGGGCAGAGAGCAGGTTTCCTGATGTTCAGATGGGGTATTCCTCATGCCTGCTGTTGGAGGAAGTTTGGAGAGCTGTTAGCAGAAGTTACTTGCATACCCGTGCAGGGATCTCAGTGCGCTTACATAAGATGCTGCAATAGAAGTGTTCCGAGTTTGGGGCTGGTGATGAGCTGGCTGGCTTTTGTGATGATGGCACTGCAGGGGCCCATTTGGTCATCGGCAAATGTTGCCAAGTGACTCCCATGTGCCAGGTAGCGGCTCTGGGGCACAGTGCTCAGCAGATCAGTCATGGCACCGCTTCTCCCTGGAATTACATAAACACATAGACTTTAGGACTTAAAACCTCACGGTTGGGGGCAGGGAGAAGAAAGAGGGGAAGGAAGGAGGGAGAGACAGGTATAAAGAGAGTCGCAAAAGACAGGTTGAATTGTAAGATTAGACGCACAATAAAATTGCATGTGAGGCTGATCAAGTTGAGAATATTACCATGACAGCTGTTCAAGGTCGCAAACAGACATTAAACTCTGCAGTCTCTGAACTTCTACAGTGGCCCAGGCATCCTGGGGGGCTGAGGTCACAGCCCTGGGATGGCCCCTTCCCTCCACGCCTGCAGCGTAGCCGAAGATCCAAACAGATCATGATCGTACAATGTCCTGAGTCTAGGATAGAAACCAAGTCTGCGAGACCTCTGATTCTATCTGGAGACTGGGACAGCTTCAGGATGACCCACTGCCCTTATTTGCCCAAGACTGACGGGTTTCCTGGGTACTGGGCTTTCAGAGTTAAAAAAGTCGTGGGCAAAGTGGGATTGCTGGCCACCCTAGATGGTTTCCTAGAGGAGGAGATAGCTTACCTCCTCCACCCCTGCCCTCCTACCCTGTGATTCTCATCTTGTTTCATGGTACCGTTTTCCCTGAAACCCAAGCTAGAAGCCTTGGAATGGACTTCAGTCACTCCTACCTGCCCACCGGCGTGTTCTTCCATGCCATCTTTTTCTTCTCCATTCTGCAAGCATCTCTGGCCAGGACAACTGCTGTAACCCCCAAACCACCTCTCGCCTTCCCTTCTCTGCTGTGCTCTGTGTCCCATCCTCACCACTGCCAGGGCCACCTTTCAATTGGAATTCCCACCCCACTCTTCTCTGCTGAATCTCTCATGGGCTCAAAATCAAAATTCCTTAGCCTGGCACTCAAAGCCCCAAATGACCCTGCCCCGTTTGCTCTCTCCAGTTGTGTCTGAAGCTGTGCTGAACTGAGTCCATCGGCTAGAGATTGGCTGGATAGCTGGGAGGTGACCTGATGGCTGAGATCTAAAGAGGCAAACTCATGCAACCTCTTGTCTCCCTCGTCCCTACGCTGGATAGCTGGGAGGTGACCTGATGGCTGAGATCTAAAGAGGCAAACTCATGCAACCTCTGTCTCCCTCGTCCCTAGTTTTTCTCTTCATGGTGGTGGTTTTCCATTGTCCAATCAGTGAATACACAACATGGCAACTGAGTGTTGTGGGTTCTCGGGGTGAGAGTGAGATCTGGGAGGGTGAAGAGATGAAGGGGTAGGAAGCTTAAAGCTGTCATGTCAGCAGCCCCAGAACACACCACACTCCTCCTCTGCCTTCCTTCTTTCCTCTGCATTTCTCTCTGGTTCCAACCTTCTATCTTCTCTTGGAAGCTTTTCCCTCTCACTCTGCCCCCTAGTGGTGGCGGTGGCACCATGGCACCATCAGGGTAACACGGAGGGATAGAAGTGGACAGTTCTTGCCCCAATGGGCCAGTTGCTCCCTCACTTTTGTTCCCACTCGCGCCCATTTTGTTCCCAGATACTGTGCTGCTGGGCTAGGCTTGCCCACTCTGAGCCGCTGTTCTGCACACCAGCTTCCAGTTCACTTTGGAACCCCAAGTTCTAAGGGTCTTTGTAGGTCAGCCTCACAGCTGTTCCCTTATGTCCAGAGTTGGTTCTTGCTGGCAGGTGGTGACAGAAGATTCCACAAAGTCTCAGGGATTCTTTCAGTCGTTTCCCAGTGGGAACCAGCTGAGAACCATCAGTAGCGGCTGCCTATTTCCCCCCTTTCCTGGACGGCTGGGTTTCTCCCTGAGATAGGAGTGGCCCCTTTGGGAACTGTCTGCGGCTGCAGAATGCTCAGCTTTCATGCACTTTTCTTTGTTTTGTTTCAGTTTTACAGAGTTTTTGGATCCATTCCAGAGAGTCATCCAGCCAGAAGAGA